TGGAGTGGGAGCCAATTTGGCCTTACCCATGAAGAATCCAACTTCAATGTGTCCATTTTCATGTGTGACCTTCAGGTAAGCTACCGCAGCAATGGCTTTCACTGAAGCATCTGAAAAAACACAAAGTTCGACGAAAATGGCTTGTGAGATGGAGAACATGACATAGGTACGAGGAATGTGTAAACTTGTGAGACTCTGTAATGAGTCGCGCCATCGTCTCCAGTTGTCATACATGTCTTGAGGTAAGGGACTGTCCCAATCAGGGTTGCTGCTAGAGAGCTCTCTGAGAAGAAGCCGGCCTTCGATTGTAATAGGCGCAAGCAAACCAAGAGGATCAAACAAGCTGTTTATTGTAGAAAGCACACCACGTCGAGTGTAGGGCTTCTGCTCTTGGGGAACATGGAATGTAACTGTGTCTGATGTAGGGTTCCAACTCACCCCTAAGCTGTGTTGGACCGGAATTTCATCAGTTGTCAAATCCAGATCTTTGATATCTTTGGCCCTATCCTCGGGGGGGAATGCATTTACCACTTGCACTCTGTTGGAAGCAATCTTATGAAGACGCAGATTAGAGAGGGCAAGCATTTTCTGAGCTCTTTGTAGGACATCAATGGCTTCAGCTTCAGTTGGGAAAGACTTTAAAGCATCATCGACGTAGAAATCTTGCTCTATGAAGTTCCGTGCATCGGTTCCATATTCGTTTTCTGCTTCCATTGCTGCCATCCTAAGCCCATAGATTGCCACTGCTGGGGAGGGGCTGTTACCGAAGACATGCACCCTCATCCGGTAATCCACTACTGCTTTGGTAAGGTCATTATCTTCGTACCACAGGAAGCGAAGGTAATCTCTGTGATCTTCCTGGACTACAAAGCAGTAGAACATTTGTACGATGTCAGCTGTGATGGCGACCAGTTCTCTCCTGAAGCGAAGCAGCACACCTAAAAGTGTGTTGTTTAGGTCTGGGCCAGAAAGCAGTATGTCGTTGAGGGACACTCCATCGAACCGTGCACTTGAATCAAACACAACGCGTATCTTCCCTGGCTTTTGCGGATGGTATACACCAAATATCGGGAGATACCAGGTTTCTTTGTCTTTGTTGCGTCGTGGTGCAAGCTCTGCATGTTGGTTGTCTAACATTTTCTGCATGAATTCAACAAAGTGTGCTTGCATTTCGGGTTTCTTGTCAAGCGTACGTCGTAGGGACATGAGGCGCTGGTGGGCGTATGACCGATTGTCAGGGAGTTTGCGTCTGGGAGTTCGAAATTGGAGTGGTGCCACCCAGCTGTTAGTTTCGTCTTTGAAGAATCCTTCCATCTTCTTCAGAAAGATCCTGTCTTCGGCAGAATGAGATAGCTGATTGTCTTTTTTGGTACGACAAAACACAGTCTCTCCTAAATTCTCAGCTGTGGGCCTTTGCTGTAAATAACTGGATGGCAGTTGGTGGGTAATGGCTTTGGCTTGGCTCAGACTGAAGTCCTCCTTTACACAGAAGTGATTATCACAGGGAGTGAGATAGCTTGGACGACCATTGTCCAATATGTGTGTTTTCAGAGCATTCACTTCATCTGGCTTGTGAGCTTTGCCAAGACACATATCACCAATGATAACCCAGCCCAGGTCCAGCTTCTGTGCGAAGGGGTCATTGTGTTTGCCATTAATTTGATCCCTCACTTTGTGAACTCTCAGAAGATTTCGTCCAATCAGTAACAGTATATCTGCACTTGGATCAAGAGGTGGGATTTCAGCAGCTATTGCTTTCAGGTGGCGGTGGTGTGAAGCAGCTTCTGCAGTGGGTATCTCTTCCCTATTGTTGGGGATGGCATTGCACTCTATCAGTGTAGGGAGAGGAAAACAATTTTTTCCATCTAATGACTGGACCATGTAGTCACATGCCCTTCTACCAGTCACTTGTGTTACACCACTGCACGTTTTCAGTGTGTATGGTTCACTTTGGCTTTTTATACCAAATATATTGAAAAACTCAGTCTTAGCAAGCGATTGGTTACTTTGATCATCAATTATTGCATACATTCGTTTGATGTTGTCTCGCTGACCTTTGGGATAGACTTGTACCAAGCAAATCTTTGAACAGGATTTTCCTGTAAATGCATTTCCACATACCTCTGTACATGTTGCAGTAACGTCTGAGTCTGTTGGATTTGCTTGCTCCCCGTCCTGCTTCTTAGGGGATAAGGGAGGCTTAAACATTTGTGGTGCTGGGCCAGGGTGAAGAGCTGCCAGGTGTTTCTCACTGTTGCACTCTTCGCACATAATTGTAGTATTACAGTCTCTGGCTTGGTGGTTGGTAGAGGCAAGGCAGCGGTAGCAGATGTTATTATCTTTCAGCAGCTTTTTCCTGTCTTCAAGTAGCATCATTCGGAAACCCCTGCATCTTCTAAGTGAGTGTGGTTTGTGATGAATGGGACATTGTTTTTGAATGTCTTCACCTGTTTCTCTTGTCTTCGATCCTTCTGATGATATGTTTGTCTTGTGCACTGTGACTGATGGCTTTTGGCTGTAGTTACCAGTTGGTTTTCCTTTTCTGTAGCTGGAAGTGTTATTTGAATATGATAAAGTAGTTGTGTTGAATGTTGTAGTGAAGCTGGGGTCATTTCTTGCTTTGGCCTGACCTTTCACAAAGTCAACGAAAACTGAGAAGGGTGGAAAGCTAACATTGTGGTCCTCTTTCAACTTTGATCCTACCATTGTCCATTTTTCTTGAAGATGAAATGGCAACTTCTCCACTATTGGGCCTACTCCTCTGCTAGTATCAAGGTAACTAAGCCCAGGTAAATAGCCATCTAGCTTTGCAGCTTGGAGTTCACACAATAGATCTGCCAGGTCACGTAGCTTGTGTGGTTCTTTGCTGGAGAGCTTTGGGAAGTTTTGTATTCTGACAAACAGAGAGTTTTCAATTGCTTCTGGTGAGCCGTAACACTCTTCCAGTCTCTGCCATATCATGTGCAAACCAGCAGGTGGATTCCTTATGTTGACTGCTTTTAGTCTTTTAGCGTGTTCAGAAGACTCTGGGCCTAGCCATTTAATGAGTAGATTCATTTCTTCACTGGCTGTAAGACTGAGGTCCCTGATGGTATGCTCAAATGTGGCTTTCCAGCTGAGATAGTTTTCTGGCATGTCATCAAATTTAGATAGTCCTATAGTTACTAGTTGACTTTTGGCTAAAAATCTGGCAAGATCACTTGTTGTGGTGTCAGCATTTTTATTTGGGCTTTGTTCCTGCTGTGGTTGTAATATGTTTTGGAGGGTTTTTGGAATTAGATCTGTTTTTGATGGTTGCCTGGCACCATCCTGTGGCACTGACTGGTATTGTATTGGTTCTTCTTTGGGGACAAAAGGTGTATACACTATTGGCTGTTTACATCTTTCGTTCCGGTATGTCTCATAATCCCCTTGAAATGTCTCCTTATTGTCCCCAGCCAGGTCAGTGTAACTGTGTTTATTTATGTATTCACTCACCTTTTGTTCTGAAGTAGTTTGGAGAGGCAGAAATCTTAATTCTTCCTTTGAATCAGCTGTGTCAAACTGAGCTGCTGCTGACTCCATTACCTCAGCTTTAGCCGTGGCTGCGTCAGCTTCTTTTTGGAGATTGATTATGTCAAGAGTTGCTTCTAGACGGGCTTTTTCTACTTTGATCGTCATTTCCTGTTCAGCGTAGGCTAATCTGGCTTTCGCTGCTTGAGCTTCTGCTTGTGCTCGTGCTGCCTCCATGCTGGCTCGTGAGGATGCTGATGACCTACTGGAACGTGTTGCTTCTGATCTAACAGTAAATTTTCCTGAAGACTTTCCTGAGTGGGTTGACTTTGTTTCTTCATCATGTCGACCTTTAGCCTCTGATTTCTCCATGGTTGAGTAGTAAAGCGTCTGCTCGTAGTCCCTTGCAGAGTGCTATGATTTCACTGTACTGTTGCACCCAATGTGACCTCGTGTCCTCTATTGAGATTCACAGCCAGCTAAACTCTTTCCTGCATCACTTCCTCCAAGGAACAGGCGTGTGTTGTATTTGAACAGGATTTAATGCAAAAAAGTGTGAAACTGAAACGATACAGAATACATAAAAATATTACTACACAAACAAGACATCAGAATGAATAAAATAAACGTTTTCTTTGTGTAAAACATGCATTTAAATGGTAACTTAAACTTAGCTGTAGCATAACATCCACTCTAATCTAACTCCAGCGTATTAAAGCAAACAACATAGCAAACGTCTCAAATTTACAAAAATAATCAGATATATAGTATCTAGAAACCATAAACAATTATGTCTCTTACTCATATTGCCACTCAAAGGGATGGAAAGGAGCGGATGGATGCAGATGAAATCCAAACCATACTCATGCCTGACTCATGGCAGTAACTTCCTGTAACACACCTTCTACTCATTCACTGGCTCAACCTAGCGAACTGTGCAAACATGCGCCCCCTAAGGGCCTGGAGAAACAACCACATAAAAAAAGAGCTCCAGCACAGAGAGTAACACAAAACACAGCACAGTCAGAAAACAACTACAACTTGCAAGGCTCAGGTGGGAGGTGACTACCTTCTATAGCCTCATCTCAGTGTTATTGTGGATACACTTTATAAATATTTTCATCGTCGTCGAGGGTCCTAACTTCATCAAAATCATATCATCTTCTTCATGTTTGTGAACGCACTTACCCCATATGCTCACAATGCTGTTCTCTGGCACCTCTTATTTCTAAATGATTTATTTTTGTTCAAATCACTGAACATCCTGATAGTTCTGTCTTAAATCTTCCTATTAGAGTTAATCAAAAGACTTTTCAGCTACTCTCAAGGGTTTTCTGTGTTTTGCTTTGGTATCCGCCTATGCAAACCTTCACAGACACTCCTGACAGGGACTTTAGGTGGAGGTAGTGTTTCCATGGTAACTTCTATGTTTGGGAAGGTGACAAACAGATCTCCTTTAAAGGGAGGCAAGTTTTAATCACCAGCTCAGAGCAATTTGGGCGCTCTAATCAGAGAGGAAACTGACTTCATGCTCACATGTAGAGTAGTGATTGTTAGATGTTATCATAAAATCTATGTTGGTAATGCTTCTGTTTAGATATTTTCATTTTTTAATGCTGTCGGTATTTCAACATTATCTGCATGATTTGGAGGTATATCATTGGCATCTTTTATGTAGTAAAAAATTCAATTAAATGTTTGTCTTAAATCTTCAGTAGAATTTCATTTTGAGATGGTAAACTTTCATTGGTCTTTTATAGAATGTACAACTAAGGACACTGTTCTGATTTACAGAGCTGTCCTGCTTTGGATGGAGAACCAAACAACTCCTCTCAAACAGCCGATTGTTTTTGACCTTGAAGGCTTTGATGTACAGCCAGGCAATGGAACCTTCTTGTTTCTGCTGGCTTTGCTTGCCTACATAGTGGTGCTGCTGGGGAACGGTGTGGTGATCTGTGTTATTATGACAGACAGGAACCTGCATAGACCCATGTTTGTCATGATCTGTCACCTGGTGGTCTGTGATCTGCTGGGTGCCACAATGGTGCTTCCTCGTCTCATGATGAATTTGTTAATGGGGATAAAGAAGATTGCCTACATCTCAGCCATCGCTCAGGCCTTTTGTGCTCACACATACGGTGCAGCAATGCTGACTATTTTAAGTGTGATGGCCTATGACAGGTAAGGAAGGTGTGAAAACAGAAGTGTTTAGCAAACATGCTTTTGATTTGAAATAGTGTTGTCTATTGTTTTTTAGCGTGGAATCTTTACTAATTCATGACTTTGTCTTACAGCCCCAAAATTGACCTTTTTTGTAAGAACATAAATGGTGAATTATCACTGATGGTTTATGTGTTTAATTCCTACAGTCAGACACTGTATGTGTACTGAAAGCAAATTCTGATTATGTATTTCCAGAGCAACATTTAATCTTCTCAGTGTATCATGGTTCATTTTTAACTTACAGGCAGGGATGTACATTGGAGAATGTATAGATTTCTAACCTAAACTTTAAGGAAACCTATGAGAGGAGTAAAACACAGTGTGTTAAGACGAACTGATAACTAATAAGGGAAGAAAAAAACTTTAAACAGAGTATGGCATTAAGAACTTTGTTTCTTTCTCTCTGCAGGTATATTGCAGTGTGTGAGCCTCTGAGGTATCTCTCCATCATGACATCAGCTCGACTGCACTGCTGCTGCACTCTGGCCTGGATTGTTGCCCTGTTGCTTATTTCTGTGCTCTTCTCCTTCCACATGAACGTCCCGCTGTGTGGCAGAACGATCAATCAACTATATTGTAGCAACCGGGGTATCCTAAACCTGGCCTGCATTCCCACTCCTGTCAGTAATATCTATGGTCAGTACATGTCTTATTAATACAAGGAAAAATACATCATAATTATCATCCATCATATATGACCCCTGATTAGCATTTTCTGTGTCTTTCAGGTTTAGCCATGACCTGGTCTTTAAGTACAGTGACCTTTATTCTCATCGCTTTTTCCTACATCAGAATCCTAAGTGTTGCCATAAAACAAGGAAGAACAGACACCAGCCTCCGTATCAAAGCCTTTCAGACCTGTGCTCCACACATTGTTGTATACGTGCTCTTTCAAATCGCTTCATTGATTGTGATTGTGAGTTACCGTTTCCCCTCCCTTTCCCAAAATATTAAGAAGTTCTTCAGCATCCTCATCTTCATCATTCCCCCAATCATGAACCCCATCATCTACGGACTGGTCAGTAAAGACTTGAGGGTCAGCTTCATCAAACATTTCTCTAATCGATTGACAACATTACCTAGTCGTGCTGTAGCTGGTGTTATTAGATAGTTTAAGTCCTGTGGTGGAACTGAAGCTTATCCTAGATGCTAAAGCGAGTATATAAAGACTCATGTTTAAATAGGACACAGTTCAGTTGGCGTCTGTGAAACTAGAATTCACAGACACTGGGGTGAAGCTATTTCAGAACTGGACAGCTTAATCCAGGGCTGTTAAGGAGCTAAGGCATTAAAACAATAATTATCACTGTCTTTTTGTAATGCATGTGCACTCAGGCCTTCACAGTCACATCCCACAGACAACCCCAGAGATTCTTGCTTAGCTTCCCTGTACCTTATCCATAGCTGGAAGAATCCCTGCCCCTTTTATCATCACACGGTAAACCTTCAGTCCAGAACTCAGAACGATATGAATAATGATAGCAGTGATTGTTCAAATGCACACTCAAAAAATCGTCTTCAGCCAAAAAACAAAGAACACAAAGATACCGAAGCAGATTATAAGAATGAACATTTTCCATTCATTTAAATGTCTATCTCAGATGTAATGATCAAATTGTACTTTTATGATCTTAAGTTTTCATTAAGACCACTTATGACCTTGATCACAACATAGACACACAGCTTTGAACCAGTAGTTTCATGCAGACTAATACTCAGTTGCTGTTTTATTTTAGAACTTCTTTGTCACTTCTGTTTGTCCTTTTTAAATAACATATATCATTTTGTCATTAATTGTTGTTGTTAAATCATTACAATGTAGTCCTAAATTTGTAAGACAGGATAAGATGCAGTGATGTTACATTAAAACTAGCCCTCTCCCTATTTGGTCTTCTTTGTCTATTTGTTTTGAACAACAGTTTCATGCCACCTTGTTTTCCTATGCCTTTAGAGTCTTATTGGGCTTTTGTAAAAGAAAAGCTCCATAGAAATTGTTGCAGATATTTAGGATGCTAAGAATTTTGCCTCCTAGGGAAAGTGTATAATATCATGACGGAAACTATATTCAAACTGATCACTTTCCAATTAATGCTGCACTGCAACCATTAGCCAGTAGGAGTGCTACCCATTAAACTTTCAGGTTTAGTCCCAAAGGTCACTGGCAGCCCTGAAAAGCCATTTAATATATCTCAGATTCAGCTACTAGGCTACTTAGTTTAGAAACCATGCATTGTTGCTTTAGTAGGAGCAGTGTGGTGCATTGTTAAGGCGCATATTTTTCTACTGTAGTTTCTAATTAATATTTTCATGAAGCCAGCCTTTGTGCAGTTGTAGTTTGTGGCTAGTTGTTTGGAAATGCTGTTTTCCTCCCACTCCTCATTTGCTCTATTCTGCTAATTCTGTGAAAACATCATCTGCGGCTTACCAATTAACATTAAAATCATATGGAAAGCTGCCTATTAATACCTGCCTCTCTTAGTCCGTCTCTGCCAGATTGTCTCGTTGCCTTCCTGAACTTCATTCCCAGTGCTTGTGTGCACCATCTGCTTTCCTTCCTTTCTGTCCTTGTCCTGCCCTCATTGGATTCTAATCAGCTTCTGACTCTGGTGCCTAAACTGCCTCTATCTGTCCTGTTTAGTCTACAGCCAGCCCTTCACTCACCTTTGCTGTCTTCCATCTACCTGGCTAACCTACCACTAGCTTTTTTTAACCTGTCACCAGCCTGTTAAACTGTTCCACATTTTCATCCTGCCAGCTGCCTGTTCTGCCTAATGACATTGTCGTTCAATTAATATTTTAAGCACAACACCTTGCCTGCCTGAATTATCTGGTTCTCTGAAAATGATTCTAAACATATTTAACTCCAACCTCTAGCAAGACATATTTTTCTGATTTTGAGGGTGGCTGGGAAGACAGAGTTAAATGCACCATATTCTCTACCTACCCTGTGACAGAGGTTGCCAGAATGCTCCATTGTGGCAAGACTTTGGGAAAACAGAGATCTGCTTTAGTCTAGAAATGTTACATACCAATTAAATGCAGAGACATGTATGATGTCATCGTGTCAACTATTGGGGGAAGACTACAGGAAAACAAACATGGCTGTGACATTTAGAGCTGGAATAGACTCCATTTCTTTTTGAAAAACAAGCAGCAGGGCACAATTTTTACCTTTGTAGTTAAGAACATGTTAGCACGTTACTCAACTGGATTTGGTAAGAGTTTAATTCATCAGTTAACTCCATGAAACATGAAACAAATCAATAATATCATACGTCTCAGCTGCTACTCCTGCTGTGATTGGCTAAAAACTTGACGATAATTATGATAACTTATGACTTATGATACTTATGATAATTATGATGAATGTCCCTCCCTTTTCCAAACACTTTCTACAGGAGGATTTCCAGAGTGATGCCATATAGATTTCTGAATGAATTACACGCATCAATCGGTCTAATGCCAGGTTACAACTGGCCAGCTCAGCCAGCTTACAAGCTTCAGTAAGCACAATTAATACAGCAGCTTGAGCCGAAAAATGAGAGGGCAAAGAGCCAGAGGAGCAAACTTCAAAATCTAAACACACAGCAAATGCCACATGGTTCTGACCAGAGTCAAGGCTGAGACGGGTATATATACTAGCTGTCCAACATCAGCATGATCTCATCAATTTGACTCAGTTCCAGTTGTAGGGTGAGCAAGAAGGTGAGTGTGAAATTATGCCCACAACCAACAAACTCACTAACAGACATGATGCTGCATCTGCTACAGCTGCGAATCCTCTTCTTTTTTTATTTTTTGTTGGTAAGCGGTGAACAGCAGCTAGGTTAAGCCTCAGGAGACTGGCTTGTGACATTTCATGGGCATTATGCTGCCGTGCATTATGCAGAAGTTAGGCAGTTCAGCTAATGTCAGTTTTAGAAGATTCTGAAACGCCTGAGACACTGGCTAAATCGTCAAGTTGTGACAATGGTCTAAGACTGAAAAGTCCAAATAATGTAATCCTGAGCTGAAAGGCCTTTTCCATTAATATGAGATGACAAAGGATTCTTGATCAGAAAATAACTATGAAAGAAATCCTTACAATAAGAGTTCATACCAAAAGTGATCATGTGTTTCTTTGGGAGTGAGTCTGCAATCGAAAAAGGCACAGGGGTGTAACTTGTCGGTACCGGAAACTTGGGAGAGAACAGCTCCAACTCCAGAATCCGAGGCGTCTACCTCCACCACAAACTGTCTGGAGAGATCTGGCTGAGTGAGAACAGGAGCATTAGCGAAAAGTCTTTTGAGATGAGAAAAGGCTGCTTCCGCCTCAGAGGACCAAACAAAGGGAGCCTTGGAAGAGATCAGGGCAGTCAGAGGAAGAGCAGTTTGGCTGTAGTTGCAGATAAACCTGCGGTAGAAATTAGCAAAACCCAGGAATCGTTGGAGCTGCTTGCGAGTCTCTGGTGTACGCCAGTCCAAATTTTCTAATTTTCTCCACAGTGGGTGTTACCTGTCCGCCCTCAAGGATAAATCCAAGGAAGGAAACTGATGGTTTGTGGAATTCACATTTCTCAGCTTTGACGAATAGTTTGTTCTCAAGCAAACATTGAAGGATGGATCTTGTGCTCAGAAAGTTTTTTGGAAAAAATGAGGATATCATTAATATAAACAAAGACAAAAATGTTCAAAAAGTCTCTCAGAATGTCGTTGACTGTGGCTCCTTGGACCAGTTCAAAAGCTGAGGACAAGAGGGGCAACGGGTATTTGTTTTTAACTGTGATTTGAGTCAAACCTCTGTAGTCTATACAGGGCCGAAGTGAACCATCCTTCTTCCCCACGAAGAAGAACCCAGCCCCAAGGGTTGAAGATGAGGGACGGATTATGCCGGTAACTAGAGACTCCTTAATGTACTTCTCCATAGCCTCCCTTTCAGGCTTGGAAAGGTTGAAAATGTAACGCGAACTGAAGGTTGGACCCAATATTCAGCAGACAAACAGAAAGTTTCAAAACAGGTTTATTTAAAAAAAAATAACTGAAAGAGGACGATGGAAACTCCTCAGAGCGGGTTCTCTGATTCTCTGCTGAGACAGGAAACTCAGGTCAGTGACAAGAATGAAGAGTGGAGAAGACAACAAAAAGTCACTGACCTGGTTGAGATTTCAGTCCGAAACTCAAAGATGTCTGACCATCTGTTTGGAGGTGAAAACCAAATGAGAGACTGACAGAGACCCCTAACAATGAGCAGAACTCCCTCCAGAACCGGGAGACAAACTGGGGACCCCTGTCAGAGACAATGTCAGTGGGGAGACGGTGGCACCGAAAAACCTCACAAATGAGGACATCACCCATTTGCTTGGCTGAGGGGAGTTTTTCTAAGGGGACCAAATGGACCATCTTGGAGAACCTGTCTATAACAGTGAGAATGACACTGAAACCGTCGGAGCAGGGCAACCCGGTGACAAAGTCCATGGCAATGTGGGACCAAGGCCGGGTTGGGATAGGCAAAGGCCGGAGATAACCTGAGGGGGGTCTTTTAGAGGCCTTGGATTGGTTGCAAAGAGCACAGGCTGCCACGAAGTCCCGCACATCTGCAGACAGAGAAGGCCACCAAAACTGAGTCCGAACAATGTTAATGGTCTTGGAAATACCTGGGTGACAAAACAAGTGGAAACAATGACAGAACTCCAAGACTCTCCCTCTAAGAGCAGCAGGAACAAACAGACGGTCTGTAGGGCAGTCACTAGGACAAGACTGGTTGAGAAGAGCCTGTCTGACCTCCTTCTCAATGCTGACCCTAGTAACTGCAAACCTCACCGAATCCGGTAGAACAAATGCCTCAGCACCACCGGAACCATCCCCTTCCACCTCAAACACCCTAGACAGAGCATCAGGCTTAACATTCTTGGGTTCGGGTAGGTAAGAAAGGGAGAAATTAAACCGACCAAAAAACAGTGCCCATCTTACCTGCCTGGGATTAAGTCTTTTGGCAGACTTCAGATACTCCAAGTTCTTATGATCGGTCCAAACCAGAAATGGAGTACTGGAACCCTCCAGCCAGTGTTTCCTCTCCTCCAAAGCCAACTTGACTGCTAATAACTACCTGTCCCCGACATCATAGTTCTGTTCAGCAGGTGACAGCTTCTTGGAGAAAAAAGCACAGGGGTGAATCCTCCCATCCCTGGCTTCCTGACTAAGAACCGCCCCAACCCCAGAACTAGAGGCATCCAACTCGACAATAAATTGCCTCTCAGGATCGGGGGAAACCAGAATGGGTGCAGAGGAGAAAGCGGCCTTGAGCTTCTGAAAAGATCGGTCTGCCTGATCTGACCAACAAAAACTGACCTCAGCGGACGTTAGTGTATGGAGAGGCGCTGCAACCTGACTGAAATTCCGGATGAACTGGCAGTAGAAGTTGGCGAACCCCAAAAATCTCTGGAGTTGCTTCCTGTCTCTAGGAACCGGCCAGTCGGTGACTGCACGAACCTTCAAGGGGTCCATGGAAATCTGGTCAGGGGAGACGACAAAACCCAGAAAAGAGATGGAGTTCACATGGAACTCACACTCCTGAGCCTTAACAAACAACTGGTTTTGTAAGAGGTGAAGAAGAACAGCTCTAACATGTTGCTTGTGGGACTCCAAATCCCGGGAATAAATAAAGATATCGTCTATGTAAACAAAGACGAAGTGTCCCACCATGTCCCTGAGTACATCGTTTACAAGGTTTTGAAAAACTGCTGGTGCATTGGTGAGCCCAAAAGGCATCACCAGATACTCATAGTGGCCGGTGGGAGTGTTGAATGCGGTCTTGCATTCATCCCCCTCCCGGATATGAACCAAGTGGTAAGTACGGAGATCTAGCTTGGTGAAAATCCTGGCCCCCTGGATCTGATC